CACTGGTCAGGCTGCAGTTGGAGTACTGCGTCTAGTTCTGGGTGCTGTACTTCAGGAGGGATGTGGCCAGCGTCGAGAGGGTCCAGAGGAGGGTGCCTCGCATGATCAGGGGGCAACAGGGTAGGCCCTATGAAGAGAGGCTATGGGACCTGAACCTGTTCAGCCTCCGCAAGAGAAGGCTGAGAGGGGATCTGGTGGCCATTTATAAACTGGCCAAGGGGGACCAGCAGGCAATGGGGGAGTCCCTGTTCCCCCAAGCACTACTGGGGGTAATAAGGAATAACAGCCATAAGTTAACTGAGGGTAGATTCAGGCTAGATATCAGGAGGCGCTACTTCACAGTCAGGGCGGCTAGGATCTGGAACCAACTTCCAAGGGAAGTGGTGCTCGGTCCTATCCTGGGGGTCTTTAAAAGGAGGCTAGATAAACACCTTGCCGGGGTCGTTTGACTCCAATACTCTTTCCTGCCTCAGGCAGGGGGTTGGACTTGATGATCTGCTCAGGTCCCTTCCGACCCTACTAACTATGAAACTATGAAACTGGTACCTCAAGGTATGTAGAAAAAACTTTTAAAGCTGTGTCTGTGTCCAAATCACTGATTCTCCAAATCAGCATAGAATCTTCAACTTCAGATTCACCCAAATCGAATCAGGGACAGTGATCTGAATCAACAAATCAAATCACTAACCCTGATTTGGGCCGAATCTGAATTGAATAGGGCCTGCTTCGCATACCCCTGCTGATTTATACCATCTCCCCTTGCTCTTGTTGTGACATATTAAAATGGCATGGGATCTCTTAAATAGCATAAGAAAGAATAGAAACTAAACACTTCTGTAACCTGCCACTGCTAGTGGTGTCTTGAGTGGTGTTATCCTGTGCCCTGCGCAATATGGTATATGCCTTAGCCTTTTGGGTTTTACTTCAACGATAGTTTCTGAGGTTACAAGTATCAAAGCTCTCCTTCTCACTCCTCAGTCTACCTCCCTGCTGCTTAGCTGCAATCCAGCCGCCAGCTTGTAACCTGCCTTTGCTGGCCCCACTGGTGGGGACAGTGGATGCTGCTCTCTGTAAATGGTCTTTATTTTCTCTTGCTCCTCTGCAACAACATAACTGTTTCCTTTTCCTCTCTCTCTCACACACATACACACACACAAAAGCATTTAAACTGGCCCCAGGAGATTTTGCAGTACAAATGCTTACATGAATATTTATTTGCTTTAGTGTTTGCTATGCTTTTTCTTTCTTGCAAATGTTCCTGTAAATAAAATCTTATGCACCTGGATGCTTGTGAATAAGTATATAGCTAATGAAATCAACAGATTTTATTCACAAGAACATTTGTGACTCCTTTTTGCTCTCTTGGTTCGGCATTAGTGAGGAGATGGATGAATGTGCTTCTTTACCATACACACACAGATAACTGATTAGGTATGGGAGAGGCCAGAAGCAGTCAAGTATCTGACATATGCAGGTACAAAATTTGTTACTAATAATGAGATGAAGGCACATACAGCATCACTTGTTCTCTAGGGACTACATCATGAAACTCCTTTAAATCACTCCGGTAAAGTACTGAGTACCCACAAGTCCCACTGAATTACTTAAGGGTGCTCATTATCTCTGAGGCATGCTCAACACTTCCCTGGTTCAACCCCTAAGTGTACTTGCTATACATCTTAAACTCACTTATAGAGTGAGACTAGGGCACTAGGCATTTCTTTTGGCATATTATATAGCTTTAAGTCTTTAGTCTTCCAGTTGGTACTTTACTGGGATGTCCTCTGATCAAGGCCTGGTGGCTAAGAAAGGCAGGGAAACAAACAAAGACTTTCTCTTTGATTCTGACTGATAGTTTCCCTGTCTTCAAGGGCTCTTTGGCCTGGGGAGTTTCTATCAGGTCTCAAGGAGATAGGAAGGTTCCAGGCACTCTCTGCCTCATCATCACAGTGCTAAGCAAACACCTCCTATAACTTCGCTTTCCAATTTCCTGTTTACAGCTAAGTTCCTAAGGGTCTTTGGACCTGCCTTGTAGCTTAAGTAATCTGTGTTCTGTCTCAAGCTGTAGCTTCAGTTTTCCCTTCTAATAGTTGCTTTCTGCTACTCTTCACCCTTTCCAGGCTGTTTCTTGCTTTCATCACTTTCTGTCCCTTCAGTCTGCAGATCAGTCTTTAGATATTCTCTTTGCCTTCCCCAATCTACAGATCTTTCCGTCTCTGTCTCAGTCTGGTCTTACCTGTCTCCCCATATCCCCAAATGCCCCTCAGCACTGAACTCCAGGTTTCTCACTGAAACATTTCCTCTCAGCTTCTCCCATCACTCTTAAAGAGAAAAAATCTTTTTTTCCCCTCCAGGAGAGCAGCTAATCAGTACTGCTGGGGAAACTGCAGTAATGCTGAAAAATACATTGACATTGTCTTTTTAATATCACATTTATGATCACTTCAATTGAATAATAAAAGACTTCTTTTAAAAAGAGTTAGACTTGATCTGTTTAATCACTGTGTGCCACAAAGCCTTCTGGTTTGGAATATAACTCCAAAGAAATATTCTCTAGGTAGGAGATATCACACAGGTTCTTCACCAGGAAGTAATGTCCTTGACATACTCTTTTACTTCATCTTCTAGGCTAACTGGTTCTTTTCTGAAAATGTATTTGCTTGAACTCATGGACTTAAGCTACAACAAGGATAATTTAGGTTGGACAGTAGGAAGAACTTTCTAACTTTGAGGGTGGCTAGGCACTGGAGCAGATTATTTAAAGAGGTTGTGGAATCTATCACTGGAAGTCTTTAAATCCAGATTAGATAACATTTGTCTGGGATAATCCTGTCTCAAGTAGGGGGTTGAGGACTAGAGAACCCCCCTGAGCTCCCTTCTATCTCTATGATTTTTCTATGAATGGTACCAACTGGGTGCAGCTACATGTGTGCTTTACCGCAGCGTAGACTAATTTACTACGCAGTAAAGGATCACCATCTACATGTGCACCAGTATTAGGGTGCAGTAAATTAATTAATTCTGCCATAGTATAGTATTGTTGGGGATAGTACTCTCTTATGGTGGAGTACTTTACTGCAATGAAACACACATATAGATACTGATTGCAGGCATACATCGCACCTGCTCAGCCCAGTCAGCTGGGGGCCTGCTCCATCCCAGCTCAAATTGCTGCTGTCCTGGGTGTACGTGTAGAGTTTATTGCATCGCATTAATTGCATGTGTAGATGCACACACTGGATAGCACCAGAAACTGAAGCCCTGTT